CCCCCCCCCTGTCATGTCCGTCCTCGTCCTCTATAGTCACTGTGACGTCTTTTATCTCCAGCAGATGCTGCTACACACATATATATATATATATAGTGTGGAAACATATATATTAACCCCTTCAGGGTCAGAACTTACCCACATAGAGGCTCAAATATTTTCTTCATTTTGGAGATGTGTCACCTTTCTCCGCTCTTGTAACTAGAGATGAGGTTCAGATTCGGGTTGTTCTGAAATTTGACTCCCAGTTCCTGGATTCAAACTTTGGTTGAATTTGCTGTTAATTCATTTTGGGGCTCATCCATAGTGCTCTGCGCATCCTTTGTCCCTGGTCATCAGCCAGTAATGGTAGAGGAGGTGGACAACCCCGCCCCCTGACTAAAATCGGGGGTGGGAGATCATCCATAACCCCGCCCCCTCACTATAAGCGGGGGTGGGAGATCATCCATGGTGTCAGTGTGTCGGGTTATGGTGAGGGAGCGCTCCTTCGTAGGGACACATCAGTGGAGGGATTTAGTGACTTGTTGCAGTGGTGGCTCCATCTTCCTCCTAGCACAGAGCAGCCAGCATTGCTGATGTCTACCCTTCATCCTCCTCTTTCTCTTCCTCTCCCCCTTTTCCTCCTCTTCCTCCTCTCCCTCTTTTCCTTTTCCTCCTCCTCCTTTTCCTCCTCCTTCTCTTCCTCTGATAAGTCAGCCAGATCCAGGACATTTGGTTCTGAGGAGTCATCAGACTTCTTCGAGCTCTCCATCTCTGGGTTGTTCCAGGAGGAGACACGGGCAGATAGAGCAGAGGAAGATTTTGGGAACGCTCAGGTCTTCCTTTCTTCTCAGGAGGAGGATTGGTGGTGACAGAGGGAGGAAGAGAGCGGAGTGATCAGAGCGGGAGAAGGTGGCTCAGTGTCTCCTAAGGAGGCCACGCTCCAGGTGGAGGACATCAGCCACCCAGCACCAGACATCAAAGTGCCAGCAGACGGAGCTTTCTGAGGGAAGAGGTGGTGGACAATGAGATGTCAGATCACATTTGGGTGCCATGGAGGGAAGAGCAGGACAGTTCTGAGGGAGAGGTGAAGGGGGAGAGCAGGGTTGTGTTGGAAGAGAGGGAGAATGGTGTCCAAGAACAGGGGCACTTCCCAGTGGACAGCAGAGCTCAGCCATCAACAGGCATCTGGTGGCCATTGTGTCTCCACTGCTGATAGTCCCCGAGTTGAGGCAACGTGGACACCACATTGTAATAATATGAAGTTCCACCACAGAGCTCGGTGGGAGCAGAACATTGAGGAAAGAACTCAGTAGCAACCACAGTCCCTATCATCCTCATCCTTCATTTTTAGTTGTTGCATGATACCCCCTACATCACATTCTCCTGGTGAACAGACAAGGACTTCCATTGCATTCAATGAGAGGGAAGATGGAGGTCAGTTCCTTTCTACCTCCAGAGGAGACGAAGCCGAGCACTAGCGGAGTGTGGGCAGATATGTGAATGTAGCGCTCACCCCCGAAGGAGCCGCTGAATGATCGGGTCTTCCATAGCCTGTCTAGGGGATTATTAAAAACACATGGCTGCCCCAATAGCACTTACCACCTCCAGTGGTCACCGACAGATTGAAGTCCAGACAATATCTCCAAGATGATTCTCTTTTATTTCTGAACTCCAGGGAGAGAGGGAAGAGGGGCAGGCACATCCAGGATGAAGGTAGACTCCTTGTACTTGAAATAGAGCAAAGTAACTGCGGCCACCACAGACTTGGACCTCTAAGCCATACCGGCAATCTGTGTGGAGAACATCTGGCAAGCAGTACTGTCAAGGGTCTTGTTCAGGCTCAACTCCAACATGAGTGGCCTCCAGGCTCAGGCCCCAGTGTCCAGGCTTAGGCCTAACCTATTCTGTCTCTCAGCAGCAGGCATCCTACCCCCAGGAGGCCCTGGGGAGGGGAAGGAAGAGACTGTTGCATCGGCCACACTCAGCATTTATCTCCTCTCCCAGCATGCATCACTGCTACTGCCCTACAGTGATTGGCTGGGAGACATAAATGCCCAAAGCAATCCTCATTGGCTGTTCTGCTCTGTATGGTAACACACCCACCCACAGGCAGACACAGCCCCACAGATTGTTCTGTCACCGTTGTACTGAACATAGACTATAGAAATATTTTAGCACCCCTATAAGTAGGGTGCTACATGAAGAATGCCTGCCAACTGTCCATCATTTGGAGGGACTATCCCTCTATTATTAAAGGAGAACTATGAGGGGGGGGGGAGTGATTTCCACTCACCTCATAGTTCTAGCCGACCTGTGACAATGAGACTGTCACAGGTCGGCTCAGTAGATCGGGAGGTGAGCGAACACATACCGGCGTTCGCTCACCTCTCGATCCTGTCACGGCTCTCTGCCGTGACAGGGGAGGGGCTGGATTCCCCTCTCCCCGCTCCGATCCGCCAGCGCTGACTGGCGGAACTGCCGGGGGAGGGGGCGGGTACAGCTGGCTCTGCCTCTAGATAGGCAGAGCCAGCTGTCACTCACGCAGCTTGGCGGATCCCTGTAGCTCCCTATATACTGAGCTTAGGGTGACGGGAGGATGCTAGTTTGTGTCCTCCCGTTACCCTAAGGAGAACTATGGGGAAAAACACTGACCCCATAGTTCTCCTTTAATAAACCTCTCTGTCCATCTTCTCTCCTCAGTTGTCCCTCTTTTTAGTCTGATGTACAGACCTCTATAAAACATCATCTATGTACCTACCTAACGTGTTCTACTGCACTAAACCTCCCGGTGTGCCCTGTCGACCCTGATGTGCTCTTTGCCTATTAACCCCTAAAGCTGCCTGTCTGGTGCTTGGCCCGGATCCATGGGGTGGAAGGATTTTGTTAAAACCCCGGGACAGTCCACCAGGAGTCCGCAAGACATGGCTTGTTAGCTCTGCATATAATCACATCTGTCACTAGTCAAAGGACAAGAAAAGCCAAAGTCCGCGCTGCCGGAGTATACTGATGATGATGTCCCCGAGAACCGGGCCGCTCCCGTCACACCACGTTCAGATTTAAGTCCCTCCCCCGCTGTATTAGTAGAGGTATCTCTGCTCTGTTCCTGCACACTGATTGTTTCAGAGTAGGGCGGGAGCTGAGATGGGCCGCCATCAGGGGGAGTATGGTCAATACACATGTGAGGGGCCCCGGCAGCATGGGGGGCCTGGGCCCCTTAGATGGGTATTGGCAGTACAAGGGGTGGCATGGCAGAGGGAACAGGGGAGGAGATGGAGGCAGCCGGGGCACCTGGACACTGATCCAGTGTCAGATGAGGCCGGGGCCTCAGCAGCACCGGTCTGTTGGAGGAGGAGGCCGGGCCCCAGCAGTGTCAGTCCGATGGCGGAGAAGGCCAGGCCCAAATAGTGGCAGGTGAGAGGAGCTGGGCGGAGGTGCAGGGAAAGGGACCACAACCAGCCCACCTGAGACCCCTGCAGAGCCCACCAGAGAGTCTCAGATGGGCTGTGCATGATCTATGGTGTGCTCTGCAGGGTCATTCTCAGGTGGGCTGTGTGGGGCCTCAGATGGGTCCAGAGTCTAGTGCGCTCCTAAGTCCAGAGTCTACTGCCCTCCCGAGTCCAAAGTCTAGCGCCCTCCTAAGTCCAGAGTCTAGGGCGCTCCTAAGTCCAGTTAGTGTTAGTAAAAAGGGAGGGGTGTTAGTGTTGGGTCCTGCTTAACATATTTTTTGGCCAAAATATATTTCCTTACTCTTAAATATTGAATGCACCGATGACTTGGAATTTTCTATATTAGGTTGTAAGAGTGTTAAAATAAAAGTGTGTCCAGTGGACGGACTTGGTGGGAGGGTCAGTGGGTGGACTCAGTGGAACAGCCAGTGGACAAGGCCTATGGTGTGTTGGTGGTGGGGGGCCCAGGCCTAAATCTGTGTAATGGGCCCCAAAGTTTCTGATGGCAGCCCTCCCTGTACTGATACCCGTCCTGGGGCTCAGCTGGCAGTATTGGGTTGGGTGTCACTCCTAGTTCCGGTAGCACAGATATGAGGACACAGATTGGGCCTTTCTTAGGTCGGTTCCTCTTCTTCCAGCAGACTTCTAGCTAAACATAAAACTCTTATCAGTCTTGTTGGGATGAAAAGTAACAAAGACTGAAACACTTCTCTTTCCAGGAGAACATACTTCTCCAAGCTCCCTCCAGTGCTGCTCATCACCAGAAGCCTAGGCCGGGGGTCACTTGTTCTGTGGTGAAGGGTCTACAAGTCTGAACTTTGATCCTCTTGTTCCTCAGAGATCACATGACCCAGTGCCTAGGCTTGTTCCTCCCAGTCCCCATTGGCTTCGCCTCTTCTGACAGGGCTTTGTAAATGTAGAAGTGATCTGGGAGGAGGACCAAAGGCCCTTTGACTGAAGAGGGGAGGAGTCCCAGCTGGTTGGGACCTCCACAGAGAACATCTGCTCCCTCAGACCTCCTGATCCAGATGGAATGTTGAGTGAAGTCATCTAACCCTCTCATATCTCTCCATCATGTGTTTCTATGTTTCCAGGACACGCCATGGAGAAACCCTCAAAGGATCCTCTGACTTTATCTCCAGGTTGTAAGATGGAAGATGAGGACATCACAGCAGATTGTGCGGGAGAAGAGACAATGAGCTCAGCTATGGATGGTGGACCTCACAGTGTGGATAGAGCATGGAATCCCTCTGACTCTGAGCAACCTCGTCCTGTGGGGGATGGTGCCGGAATTCAGAAGAAGAAGACCTTTTCCTGCCCCGAGTGCGGGGAAAGTTTTACCTCTGATCAAGGTCTTTCTGTACATAAGAGGTCTCACACGGGTGGGAAGCTTCTTTCCTGTTCTGAGTGTGGAAAATATTTTCTTTATAAATCAGAACTTGTCACACATTACAGATCTCACACGGGGGAGAAGCCATATTCCTGCCCTCAGTGCGGAAAGTGTTTTACACGGAGAACAAACTTACTTGGACATCAGAGGTATCACACTGGGGAGAAGCAGTATATCTGCTCTAAGTGCGGGGAATTTTTTTCATGCAAGTCCAGTCTTGCCGAACATCGGATAAGCCATGCGCAGGAAAAACGTTTTTCCTGCCCTGAGTGTGGTAAATGTTACCCACGGAAATCAAAACTTGTTTTACACCAAAGATGTCACACGGGGGAGAAGCCATATTCCTGTCCTGAGTGTGGAAAATGTTTTTCAGAGAAGTCCTATCTCATTACGCATCAAAGGTTTCATACAGGTGAGAAGCCTTATGTTTGCCCCCAGTGTGGAAAAAGTTATACACACAAATCAAACCTTGTTATACATCAAAGATCTCATACGGGGGAGAAGCCGTATTCCTGCCCTGAGTGTGGAAAATGTTTTTCACAGAGGTCCTATCTGAAAACACATGAGAGTTCCCATACGGGTGAGAAGCTGTATTCCTGTTCCGAGTGTGGAAAATGTTTTTCAAGGAAGTCCAGTCTTATTGAACATCAGAAATGCCACACAGGGGAAAAGCTGTTCTCCTGCTCTGAGTGCGGGAAATGTTACGCACGGAAATCAGAACTTGTTTTGCATCAAAGATATCACACAGGAGAGAAGCCGTATTCCTGCCCCGAGTGTGGAAAATGTTTCCCACAGAAGTCCAGTCTCAACATACATCAGAGGTCTCACACAGGTGAGAAGCCGTATTCCTGTCCTGAATGCGGGAAGTGCTTTTCACGCAAGTTCAATCTTACTAAACATCAGATAAGTCACACACGTCCGAAGTTGTATTCCTGCTCCGAGTGTGAGAAAAGTTATCCTCGGAAATCAGAACTTGTTTTACACCAAAAAACTCACACAGGGGGGAAGCCATATTCCTGTTCTTAAAGCGTGAAATGTTTTTCATACAGGTTTACTCTTAACGAGCATCAGAGGTCTCACGGTAGCTGTATTACTTCTAGGTGAAGCATCCATTTCCCGAACATCTCTGGACACAAACTCTTGGTTCTACTAGCTCCCCGGATATACGTTAAGTTTTCCCCCACATAGGTGATGTCGCACACACACAAAATAGGGTAGCTTGCCACCACCTGCAGTTTGTCGGCTAACTGGTCTGCTAAGCAGCATCAGTCAAACTTGTGACAGTCCATATCTACTTGACATTGGTTTAGACCGATAGACTTTCCATTCTTGGTCATTCTTTGGACTCTGGACTCAAAATGGGAGTCTTCTGCTTAAATGTCTCAATAAACAAGGTTAACCGTTTCTTTTCTGTATGGAATATATGCATTTTACTGGCTGTATTGTATATAAAACTGTCACTCCCTTTGTGGGACGTATTGTCTACGTATGTTAAGTTACTGATCTTCTAAGCTCATGCACAGAGGAGAAATCCTCAGTCGGCCATATTTGACTGTTCTCACACAAGTGTTAAATAAAGTTTTACCCCCCATGGCAAGGAGTCTTTGTTCCTGAAAGCGGAGATGTCCATCAATCCCATAAGACTTCAATGTTCTGCTTGGCTTCCTGTGCAAGGTGAGAGGAGGGGGGGGGGAGGGGGGTGTCACTGCTGGTCGGGTCCCTCTAGCAGTGTTGTCCCCGTGCTCTTCAGCAGAAGCTTCATAGAACGTTCCATCACGGTGAGGGGGAGGAGCTAGATATGACTTGTGGATGAAGAGAAAGGGAGATCAGACTACATGACAGGGCTGAGAATTCCTACTGTTGCTCTTGATTGTAAGTGAAACATGGATCATCCTTGGTTGATCAGGTTCTACAGTGACCTGGTCACCTTCAGCTGGTTTCTGAATATTCAAATCCTAACCCTATACTATGTTACCTCTGTTGAATGTTGTAACGTGAAAGATGCATAGGGAGTAGTCCTGTGCCTCCAAGCTCACAACCCACCAATGTTCTGCTACCCGCAGTGCATCTCCTGAAAGGCCTCATACTGACAGCCTTGAATTCTGCCCTCTGCTTGAGTCTATGCCATGTTCAGAGACATCCTGAGATCTTCAGAGTCTTCATGAGATCTTCAGAATCTTCTTTGGATTTTCAGAGACTTCCTAAGATCTTTAGAGACATCCTGAGATCTTTGGAGTCTTCCTGAGATCTACGGAGTCTTCCTGAGATCTTCAGAGTCTTCCTGAGATCTTCAGAGTCTTCCTGATATCTTCAGAGTCTTCCTTAGATCTTCAGAGACTTCCTGAGATCTTCAGAGTCTTCCTTAGATCTTCAGAGTCTTCCTGAGATCTTCAGAGACTTCCTGAGATCTTCCTGAGCTTAGGGTGACCTTCAGAGTCTTCCTGAGATCTTCAGAGACATCCTGAGATCTTCAGAGTCTTCTCGAGATCTTCAGAGTCTTCTCGAGATCTTCAGAGTCTTCCTGAGATCTTCAGAGACTTCCTGAGATCTTCAGAGTCTTCCTTAGATCTTCAGAGACATCCTGAGATCTTCAGAGACATCCTGAGATCTTCAGAGTCTTCCTGAGATCTTCAGAGTCTTCTTGAGATCTTCAGAATCTTCATTGGATTTTCAGAATCTTCTTTGGATCTTAAGAGACTTCCTGAGATTTTCAAAGTTTTCTTGATACCTTCAGAGTCTTCCTGAGATCCGCAGAGACTTCATTCGATCCATCAGGTGTGGCCTCCACCTCAGTTCTATGCTGGGAGGGTTTTCCAGCAAACATGGAGGATTTCATGGGCCAAATTGCAACTTTGATGACTGATGATGGTTGATGACCACAGAGGTCACTTCCATGCCTTCCCTTGCAGAATCCTTTCTCATCTGCTCACGATCTTAGCCTTCTCTGAGCCTTTAGCCACCGAGGTTCTCCCAGATATGGAGTCTCTTCATGGATGATGTTACGCCTGAAGAGATGCAGCCTGCTACCATTGCTTCCAGGCTTAAGGAGGCCATCTCAGCTCTTACTGATGCGGTTTGCACCAATATGTGAGTAGTGGATCAGCCTGCTACCTGAACATTCTAGGTTCCCTTAGGGGTCCTAAGACTCCCACATCTTTTCAGGTGTACCTGTTGTTCCTAGACATTCTTTTTGGAGACTGGGACACACCTAACAATCTGTTCACTTCTCCTAAATGATTGGTAGCCTTTTAACCCATTGGTGGAGGACTTTGCAAGAAGTCTCCACAGTGGACCTGCCAATATTCCATCCTAACATCCCTGTGGAGGAAGCACCTGCCTTTAATGATCCTATCAATACGTAATTGAAGATCCTTTCCAAGACCTTGTTTTTATGGGCAGGTTCTGCCTTACATTGGCCATGATAGTCTCAGATTCCTGCAGACCAGACTAAGGCCATGAAAATGGACCTGCTCTCCTTACAAGACGATCCCTTGTTGAGCATTTACAGTTGATCTCGTGCCTGCAGCCTTAAACTACCGTGTGAACATGTTGCTGAACATATCCCGCCTCGTTTCTCATATGAGTCCCCTGTAAGTGAACACGAAGAAGACTGGCTAAAGTGTTGAGCTGTGGATCAGCATGCAAAAAGTGCCTACTGCGCTTGCACTTCAGACGACATCTCTGCACTGGACATCCTTATAAGAGAGATAAGAGTACTCATCAGCCCTAGCAGAAGAAGCCCTGAGCTCAGATTGGGAAGACTCACCCTTCCTCAGAGACTAAGAAAGGTCCCTTTCCTGTTTCATAGCTCCAAATTGGCAAAGCTAAACCCAAACCTGGCTACCAGTCCACCCGCAAACCCTTGGACTCAAACCCTCAGCTAAACCTTTAGCGTGAAACGGTGCTCCCACTTTCCAAATTGCATGGACATCTGTCAGCCTTTGTGGACATTTGGACAGCCAGCATCTCCAATGCTTGGGTACGGGAGGTAGTTTCCAGGGTCTGCAAACTAGAATTCCACTTCCAGCCCCTTTCTCATTTAAAGGAGAACTATGAGGGGGGAGGGGTGCTTTTCACTCACCTCATAGTTCTAGCCGACCTGTGACAATGAGACTGTCACAGGTCGGCTCAGTAGATCGGGAGGTGAGCGAACACATACCGGCGTTCGCTCACCTCTCGATCCTGTCACGGCTCTCTGCCGTGACAGGGGAGGGGCTGGATTCCCTCTCCGATCCTCCAGCGCTGACTGGCAGAACGGACGGGGGAGGGGGCGGGTACAGCTGGCTCTGCCTCTAGATACGCGGAGCCAGCTGTCACTCATGCAGCTGGGCGGATCTCGACATCGATGTCTGGATCCATCCCGGATGCGGCGTCTCAGTATACCGCGACCTGTAGCTCCCTATATACTGAGCTTAGGGTGACGGGAGGACGCTAGTTTGTGTTCTCCCGTTACCCTAAGGAGAACTATGGGGAAAGCCCTAACCCCATACTTCTCCTTTAATGTCTTCCAATCAGTCTTCTGAAGCAAAAGGTCACTGGATGCAACTGATTGGAGATAGAGTATTGGGAGAGAACTGCCCCTTCCCCAACATCCAAAGCGTCAACCTCCACAAAAAAGGGCAAAGAAGGATTTGGATGGGTCAACACAGTAGCAGACATAAACGCAGACTTAAGCTTTTGAAAGGTAAAGATGGCCTCCTGTGGCCATGAAGCAGGATTTGCCCACTGCTTGGTTAGGGCAGTGATAGGCACAACGATAGTGGAAAAACCTTTAATACATTCCTGTAGAAATTTCCAAATCCCGAAAAACTCTGGATTGCCTTCAGATCTGGCTCTGGGTCCACCGGTCAATAGCCCGTGCTATGGTGGGATCCATGGCGATCCCAGAATCGGAAATAATGTAACCCAAGAAGGAAACTTCTGATACATTGAAGACACAATTAGAGAGTTTGGCATACAGGGAGTGCCGAGCTTGGATAAGACGATTCCAACATGGTTATAGTGTTCACCAACAGAGGAAGAGTTCAGAATATTATCCAGGTAGACCAAGACAAACTGACCTAGGACCTCACGGAAAATGTCATTGCCAAATTAACTAGAGGCCACCACCTAAAATTGGTGGGAAAAAAATTCCAGCACAAGGGGCGAAGGGGGTTCTTCACAGTAAGATCAGTTAGGGTCCGGAACTCACTGCCACAGGCGGTGATTTCAGCAAATAATGTGGAATTGTTCAAGAAACTTTTGGACGATTTTTTAAGGGACCGTAATATACAGGGGTACAGGTAACATACAGGGGTACAGGTAATATACAGGGGTACAGGTAACATACAGGGGTACAGGTACTCCTAGAATGAGATCCTAATAGGTTGGACTTGATGGACTAATGTCTTTATTCAACCTCAAATACTATGTAAATTCCCGGAATACAGCAGGTTACATAGTTACATAGTATTTGGGGTTGAATAAAGACATACGTCCATCGAGTCCACCCCATATAGGTCCGCGCATCATCTCATTCTTAGGGATACTGGTACCCCCCGGATATTACGGCCCCTCACGAAATTGTCCGAACGTTTCTTGAACAAATCTACAAAGGTGCATTACGTAAACCAAAGGGCATGACTAGGTGTTCATAATGTTAATTACAAAAATGGTATTATATCCCTCTTGGTGGGAGAGGAAATGACCCGTCTGTACGGATATACAGCAAATACACACACGGCACAAGACTGTGCTTACTACGAGACATTTCCCGGGGCTGCAGTTCCTCCGAGCTCCACAAGGTGGTGACCTCACCTATAACGAGACAGGAAGTCTCTATGATGAGCAGACAGGAAGTGATGTCAGGTACAGACAGGAAGTTTCCCGGGTGAGGTCAGTTGTGAGGCCATATAAGGGAGACATTGTTGGCAGCAGAGGAGGTAATAAGATTTTATTTTATATTTACACTCAGTAACCCCTCCCTCATGTCTATAGCGTGGAAACCTATATATTGATCCTTTCACGATTATAACCTTTCCTAAATTATGGGGCCGGAAGATTTTCTTCATTATGGAGACGCCTCACCTTAGCAGTCTCTTGTATTAGGAATGAGGTTCAGGCTCGCCAAAATTTTACCCCAATTTCCAGGATTAAAAATTTTGGTCAAATTTGCGGGGTTGATAAATTTTGGGGCTCACCCATAGTTCTCTGCGCAGCCTTTGTCCCTGGTCATCGGCCAATAATGGTGGAGGAGGTGGATAACCCCGCCCCCTCACTATAAGCAGGGGTGGGAGATCATCCGTAGTGTCAGTGTGTCTGGTGAGCGGACAGGGAGAGCTCCTTCATAGGGACACATCAGTGGAGGGATTTAGGTCCCAATCACACGGGAACATGCCTTGAAGTGAGACGCCTTTGCGGACGTTTGTTGCCCGCGTGTGGCGCACATCCCCGTTGATTTCAATGAGTTCCTGGATGTGAGCCGAATGCCGGAATGTAGTGTGTGTAGTAAATTCTGTGACATGCGTTTTTCTCTGTGTTTGGGGTTCCATTAACTCATATTGGCCCCACAAGCGCGTTCCATGTTTTCATGAAAGCGCATGTTCCCGATATGCTTGTTGGTGATGTGTTTGGATGAAGCTCTGAGATCTTGAGGAACGCTGAATTAGGTTTTACTTGCTGAGAAGAACGTCACATGCGTGTATACAGCATAACGCAGGAAACATATATAGATAGAAAAAAACTGCTTCCTGTGTATCATAGATAAGCATGCAGATAGAAAACTAACATTGCACTACAGCGCCATCTACAGCTCATAAGATATGTCACATCAGAATGTCAGTCATATGCTGTTGTATTTCCAACAACACAATGGAGTGAATGGGGACTGAGTTGTGTGCGTTGGAGTGGCGGCTTCATCTTCCCCCTTCCAGCACAAAGCCAACATTGCTGATGCTTCCTCCTCCTTCCTCTTCTAGGTTTGTAGGGGGCAAGAAACCCAACAATCACTGAGTGACCCCCATCTACATGGGGCAATTCCCACTGGGGGGGCAGCCCGCCTATTACCCCCTTATATCCCCATCCTAATATTATACAACCAGTACAGTCCAGATAATTCTCCACTATCCGTCCACAGAGATCACATGACCACATCAGTGAAGATGGAGGAGGACCGGAGTCACATGACTGAGAAGATACTAAACCTCACCCTGGAGATCATCTACCTGCTGACCGGAGAGGTGAGGAGGATTCTGGGAGGTCACATGACATCACTCTTATCTCTATTAACAAAACACAGACCTGACCGGAGAGGTGAGGAGGATTCTGGGATACTAACATGATATTCCTATTTGTTTCTACATCCAGAGTTTTCCTCTTCTGAAGTCAGGTGATCATGTGACCATCACAGTGCCCCCATGTGACTCCCTAACAGCCGAGAGACACAACATGCAGAAGATTCTAGAAGTCACCAAGAAGATGATGGAGCTGCTGACAGGAGAGGTGAGCGGTGCCGGGAATTCTGGGACATGATCCAGGAACAGACGAGGGATGTGTCTGGGTGGTGACGGTATCATTGTGTGTGTCAGTGATATTGTTGATGATGATTGTACAGAAGCGTGTTGGATACAATGAATGTTTTATTATATATTCAGATTGGAAACCTCGGGGATCATAATGATATGAAAGAAGAGTATAAAGAGGAAGATGAGGAGTATGGAGTGATGAAGGAGCTTTCTGAAGGACACAAGGATCTCTACAAGAACATAATGGTGGAGCCACCTAGTAAGAGGAACCCACCAGAGAGATGTCCCCGTCCTCTGTATTCCCGGGATCCCACACAGGAGGATCTCACCATCCCCCACCATGATCAGGTAGGTGGAGTTGAGTGATTGAAGACTGACATGTGGAGATGATGTGTGGACTCTACAAGATGAGACTTTCTGCCGTTCTGTTGGTTTAGGGTGAAGATCTGATGAAGGTGAAAGTTGAGGGTGACGTAGAAGAGACGTATGTGAGGGATGATCAGCAACATACGGAGGAGGATGGAATGACGAGGACACTCATAGAGGAGGACACTACTACAGAGATCAGCACAGGTGGTTATTCTGTTTTCTGGAAGGGGGACTGCCAGTCTGTACTCTGATCATCTTGGTGATCAATGGTCCCATGATCCAGTGCCTTGTGGTTGGGTGAAGAGCATGCTCCTCCCAGTCCCCATTGGCTCTGCCTCTTCTGATAGGGCTGTGTAAATGTAGAAGTGATCTGGGAGGAGGACCAAAGGCCCTTTGACTGAAGAGGGGAAGAGTCCCGGCTAGTTGGGACCTCCACAGAGAACATCTGCTCCCTCAGACCTCCTGATCCAGATGGAATGTTGATTGAAGTCATCTAACCCTCTCATATCTCTCCATCATGTGTTTCTATGTTTCCAGGACACGCCATGGAGGAACCCTCAAAGGATCCTCTGACTTTATCTCCAGGTTGTAAGATGGAAGATGAGGACATCACAGCAGATTGTGCGGGAGAAGAGACAATGAGCTCAGCTATGGATGGTGGACTTCACAGTGTGGATAGAGCATGGGATCCCTCTGACTCTGAGCAACCTCGTCCTGTGGGGGATGGTGCTGGAATTCAGGGGGAGAAGACATTTTCCTGCCCTAAATGTGGGGAAAGTTTTAGCTGTGAACAAAGTCTATCTGTGCATCTGAAATCTCACACAGTTGAAAAGCTTCATTCCTGCTCTGAGTGCGGGAAATCTTTTCTTCAAAAATCAGCTCTCACCACACATTACAGATCTCACACAGGTGAGAAGCCGTATTCCTGTCCTGAGTGTGGGAAACGTTTTTCACAGAGTGGCCATCTTTCCATACATAAGAGATTGCATGCTGGCAGAAATCTATATTCCTGCCCTGAGTGTGGGAAATTTTATACACAGATATCAGACCTCGTTAAACATCAAAGATCTCACACGGGTGAGAAGCCATATTGCTGCCCTGAGTGCGGGAAAAGTTATTCAGACAAGTCCACTCTTGCCAGGCATCGGAGAGTGCACACAGGCGAGAAGCCTTTTTCCTGTCCCGAGTGTGGGAAATGTTTTTCGCAGAAAACAAACCTTGTCATACACCAAAGATCTCACACAGGGGAGAGGCCATATTCCTGCACTGAGTGTGGGAAATGTTTTTCAGATAAGGGCGTTCTTAACAAACATCTGACATTGCACACAGGCGTAAAGCCATATTTATGCCCCGAGTGTGGGAAAAGCTTTTCACTTAAATCTGGTCTTAAGAAACACCAGAAAACCCACACAACCCTTGAGGTGTATTAGTGTCCTGAGTGCGGGAAATGTCTTCAATGTAATTTGTATTTAGCTATACATCAGAGATCTCATATTTGGAAGAACACCTTGATAGACACCTCAGAAATCACATGACTCAGCTCTCCTCTGATCTTTATAACGGAAGAAACACTTTATAACTAAATGGGATTTCATTAAAGTCTTCAAAGTTGTGTCTGTGTTCCTCTGCTAGGAGAACGGGAGAGGGGGTGTTGCTGCTGGTTGCGTCCCTCTAGTAGTGTCGTCTATTCTACCGTGTTCATAAGAATATTAGGATTCGCCAAAGACACTGAAGTTTACAAAGTTCCCTATGGTTTTCTCTGCTCCGTGGCAAAACATGTCTCATGTGATCTCTGTAATGCAGGTAGATCCAGGCAGGGTTCAGGAGCAGAGAAAACGCACTTCAGGATGAATCTTCAAACAGGCCGAGGTTCGGGAACATAGGAGAGCAGCAGAAGGTCAAGCCAAGCTGGGTCATTAACAGGCAGACGGCGAGGTACCAGGACGTGAAGCAGGAGCTTAGTCAGGAACAGGCTGAGGTCATCAACGTGTGGGCAATGCAGTACCAGGGATGAGACAGAAGCCATGATCAGAAGCAAGCCAAGGTTCGGGAACATTGGAGAGCAGCAGAAGGTCAAGCCAAGCCGGGTCATTAACAGGCAGACGGCGAGGTACCAGGACGTGAAGCAGGAGCTTAGTCGGGAACAGGCCGAGGTCATCAACGTGTGGGCAATGCAGTACCAGGGATGAGACAGAAGCGACGATCAGAAGCAAGCCAAGGTCCGGGAACATTGGAGAGCAGCAGAAGGTCAAGCCAAGCCGGGTCATTAACAGGCAGACGGCGAGGTACCAGGACGTGAAGCAGGAGCTTAGTCGGGAACAGGCCGAGGTCATCAACGTGTGGGCAATGCAGTACCAGGGATGAGACAGAAGCGACGATCAGAAGCAAGCCAAGGTCCGGGAACATTGGAGAGCAGCAGAAGGTCAAGCCAAGCCGGGTCATTAACAGGCAGACGGCGAGGTACCAGGACGTGAAGCAGGAGCTTAGTCGGGAACAGGCCGAGGTCATCAACGTGTGGGCAATGCAGTACCAGGGATGAGACAGAAGCCATGATCAGAAGCAAGCCAAGGTTCAGGAACATTGGAGAGCAGCATAAGGTCAAGCCAAGATGGGTTGGTAACGGATGTGGGGATCAGGATACATGGATTTCAGAAACACGGGTAGCTGACAATCAGACAGCACAGGAGGACCGGATGTCACAGCCTAACCAGCCCATAGGGCGCCAAAAGTTCACATTACACAGCGCGCGAAGGTGCGCACGTCCACACAGAGGTGCAGAACCTGGCAAAGCTCTATGAGCAACACCAGGCGCACGCGCAGAACCGCTGGGCACGAACTCTGGTTCTGGCTTCTTGACACCTTTATGCTAGGTCCCAATTTCAGTGCGAGATCCCTGGCAGGTTCTATTGTGAAAAGAAACATGAGGTTGTATTAGAGGTAACAGGCTACAAATATTGCCTAGGCATGCTACGTATCATGTAAGCGGTTTTACTAGGTAGGAATCAGAAAGGAAGAGACAAGTCCTTGGCAAGATCCATAGATATGGCGCAGACACACTGCACACCAATGCGAGAGTTTTGCTTACTGGGCCGCGATGTAAGGGGTTGAGGCGTCTTATAAAGAAATACAATTTAGAGTTTGTTATTTATAAGGCAGAGGTTGGAAATCTGTTACAGACTCCATAGTCGGCATCGTAGCAGTTCGGAGTAGGACTCTTTTTGAAAGGGACACGCAGCATGCATCATTTTATATAAAGAAAATTAGGGATGCACCGATACCGATACTAGTATCGGTTCGGTGCCGATACCGAGTATTTGGGTGAGTACTCGCCCAAATGCTCCGATACCTAGCACGAGTACTTCCTGTATCAGGAAGCCGGGCAGCGCGTCATTACACGCTGCCCGGTTTCCTGATTGGCCAGGAAACGGCTCCATGCTCTCTCGTCACTTGTGATGAGAGAGCATGGAGCCGACTTCCCGGCCAATCAGGAAGCCGGGTGGGGTGCAATGATGCGCTGCCCGGCTTCCCGATTGGTCAGGAAGCTAGCAAATTCCGAACCCGGGCGCCGTGTAATGACGCAGCGCCCGGCATTCTGATTGGCCGGGAAACCGGCGTCATGCTCCCTCGTCATCTCATGAATCATAATATTAAGAAAGTGACATTACAGCATTAGTTTGTATTGCTTTAGAAAAAATGTGACCTGTCCCTTTAAGAAAAAGTATCGGTAATTGGTATCGGCGAGTACTTGATCAAAAGTATCGGTACTCGTACTCGGTCTTAAAAAAGTGGTATCGGTGCATCTCTAAAGAAAATCCTTATGGAAGTCACAGAAATAAGGAAGCAATATTATACAAACTACACACAGGATATGGAGTAGACCGCACATTAAAACTGATGTTGCTGTTCCCTATTTTTCTTTTGTTTTTTTGGGGTGTTTTGTGTTTTTTTTAGCGTTTAAAGGAGAACTACGAGGTCAGGGCTTTTCCCCATAGTTCTCCTTAGGGTAACGGGAGGACTGGGCTCAGTATATAGAGAGCTGATGCTCGCGGTATTCTGAGTAGACATGTGCCATTCGTTTCGTTACGAATCGAAATTCGTACGAATTTTTCTGAAATTCGTAAATCCGGAAGCATCCGAAATCCGAATGGCAGTTTCCGAATTATATCCGAAATACGAAATTCCGTTAACGAATTTCGGATCCGAATTTCTTTTCTCATAGTTCTCCTTTAATTGTCCTGGGGTAGGTGTTTGGGGTTTAGGTATTTTTTTCCCCTGGAAGGTACATGTATTTCCATATCACATTCTTGGTGTCTTTTAACTTTTAGTTTTGCAGTCATCAGCAGCGTCAACTTGGTGACACGGCAAAAGCTTCCCTTTTGTTGGCAGCACGGCACAGCATACTCTATTGTCATCATGTTTGGTGCTCCCGACCGCCACATCCCCCCATAAACCTATTGCCATAGTTGGTGGTAACATTGGGGAATCTCCCATTACCACCGCCGTGTCTGGGAGGCCTAAAGGGAGAGGTTCTCCTCTGGCAGCTAGTAGGGGGTGAGCGGGTTCTGCATCCTCAGGCCAAGCAGGGGTCGGGCCTCACCTTTGGGAGTCATGTCTGTCTTTCTTTTCTGGCAGCGGGCATGCTATACAGCTAGGACATGTGCAGGAAGAGGCGGTGGTGGTGGTGGTGGATCATCAAGCCTTCCTCCTCTTCCCACAAAGTAATTATTATACAGGATTTATGGAGTGCCAACTGTTTGCGCAACGCTTTACAATATAAGGAAGACATCACAATCACAATACAGTTCAAGACAAGATGGTAAGGAGGGCCCCGCCCCTGAGGGCTTACAATCTAACAGGGGAGGGGCCTGTGATACATGAGGAGGTGGCTGTGTGGGGGATGAATTGTTTGAGAACGTGATGGTTGAGCGGTTAGGTTGAGGTGGGATCGGCTTCCCTGGAGAGATGAGTCTTTAGGTAACGCCTAAAGGCAGTCAAGGTGGGAGATAGACGGACAGGTTGGGGTAAAGAGTTCCAGAGGATGGGAGAGACTCTAGAGAAGTCCTGGAGGCGAGTATGGGAGGAGTGGACAAGGGAGCCGGAAAGCAGGAGGTCAATAACGCCACGCCCTTCTTCTGCATCGTCCAACAGCTAATCCTGCAAACTGGCATGGAGGAGACGGACAAATTATTTCAGCACAGCGGCCTCAGTAACGGGCTTATCAGAATCCGGGATAACGCCCCTATTTGGTCAATGACATCACCTGGGATTCCCTGCCCCTTTGTGAACACTCCTCTGCGGGGGAGGGTGAGGGGGGCGTTAGCTATCATGCGGGTGAGGACACATTGGTGGGCTTTTTCCTCTGGTGGGTCGGTGGGTGTCCCCCGTGACTGATGAGGATCTGCAGTGCTGGACATTGTGACCGACATTGGATTTACATGATGGGATTTTAATTTAAAATAAAGGACATGCAGTGGTGAGGACTGGGACTGCATGTTGGCCCTCCACCCTTTCCTGGCTCGCCAGGCATCTTTTTTTTGGCATGTCTAGCGCCCTCTAGAATGTCGCTATCAAATTTAGTGTATATCGGGACTGTAATCAGTCTGGAGGCTGTTTTTGTTCTGAGTTCTGCGTTCTACACGTGTCCCTGAGTTTGCTGGATTGATTGCTTCCCCCTGTTGCTGGGTTGTGGACTCGGCCTACAGTGAGGGAGGATCCATCCTCAGGCTGTGACTGTGCAGCTGACCCTAGCCAATCCCTGAGCAGGATGACTCAGAGGTATGGGTGGAGCAAGGTGATAAAAGGTTTGGGGACACTTTCCAGAACTCTCTCCGTCCTAGGGGTCCTCCATGGGATGAGGCCGGTGTGATATAGATGGCAGGTGCTGGGGGCCTAGAGGCCTAGGATACTACTGGATATCTGGTATGCACCTCAGCACGTGGCAGGTGCTGGGGGCCTAGAAGCAGAAGATACTACTGGATACCTGGTATGCACCTCAGCACGTGGCAGGTGCTGGAGGCCTAGAAGCAGAAGATACTACTGGATATCTGGTATGCACCTCAGCACGTGGCAGGTGCTGGGGGCCTAGAAGCAGAAGATACTATTGGAAACCTGGTATGCACCTCAGCACGTGGCAGGTGTTGAGGGCCCAGAGACTTCAGATGCAGCTGAAAGGAGACCTGATGGAAGCTGGGCTGGAGTCTTCTTATCGAGGAGTGTCGCAGGAGGAGCTGGTGAGAGGTGCCGTCTGGAACCCTGTAAGAGATCCCTCACCCTATTCTCAGGTGATCGCTAAAGAAGAAGCCAGTTGTTGCCTTAGAAGTCCAAAGATAATTCTCTCTCTCAAGGTCCTGGACTGTCCGCTGTGCTACTGTATATTGCTGGTCGCTCTTAAAGGACCCTTGTGCTACCAATTATAGCCGTTGCTACGGGAGATAACAGAGTCCTCTGAAGTATTACCCGGGTGTCCTACAATCCCAAACCCTCGTTTGATCCTGTGCAAATAAATACTGAAAAGATCCTACGACTCGAGTCCTGTTCCGGAGTGTCGGTGTTGCTGGATCTTAGAAAGGCGCCGGTGGCTGGCAAACAGGTAGGAGAGCCCAAGTTCATATTGAGCGGCTCCTACGGGGGTTGAGCGCCACACATGCAGTCCCCCTTAAAATCCATATCAGACCTGAATGGTCTCATCTGAAATTTGCGGGGGACCCCGACACCATTGCCACCATCCTCACTTCTTTGCTGACATTAATTGGAATGGGCCTGGCAGGGATGACCTACCTTTTGTCAGAATGCTAACAGCCACCGGCCCCTAATGCCCAGAGGGGGTCATATCGAGCAATGGCGGTGATAACTCTGCTAAATGGTTCACTTTCCACTGAAGCCGGAGGTTGAACTTGGCCGCGCGCCCATGTCGTTTGGTTGCAAACCCTATAGTGCGCCTTTTCATGCAAAGTATGCTCGGTGCTGGAATGGGTAGGGTTGCCACCTCTCCAGGATTCACAGTCCGGGTTTTGA